AGAAGCTACTAGTAGCTCCTGGCATTACTACTAGTAGCAAGAAGCTAATGGTAGCTCCTGGCATTACTACTAGATACTACTAGTAGCAATTGTGGGTTTTTCCTCCCCGAAGCTCGCTCCGCCCAAATGGTGTTTCTTCTCGTTTGTGTTCTCTCCGTGAGGCCCAGGCATGGACGCAGCCACAAAGTCAGTGGTCAAACAGCACTCCATGGGAGGGCCAAAGCACTGCGTCCAGGCAGGGCTTATTTGGACCGGGGCCAATAGAGAGGTCCAAAAGAGGGGCTGAAGGGCGATGTTCCTTGCGCTGTCCAGGTGGCCTGAGTCCTCCATGATGATGACTCAAGTGAAGATGCCTGGACAAGCGCAAGCTGCCACCTCCCAAGAGTGCAGCCGGTCGGGTAGATTCGGTGCAGATAGATTCGTGCGCTTGTCCAGGCCACAGCACCAGCGCAGGTGCTCGGGAAGAGTCAAAGCTCCGATGCACGGACTGTTGCGAGGTACAAACGAACATACTGTTCGCATTTGTAAAGTGAAGTCGTAGCTTTCAACATGGATAGCTTGACTCACATGACTAGTTGACAAGGCACAGACTACAGCTGACTGGGTAATTATGGGTGCCCGTGAAGATGTTGCCTCGGTGTGCCTTGCAAGGGTTTTCAATGTAAGGAAAAGCAATGCTGCGTCACTGTTACTGTGGCTTCATTCCTAGAAGAAAGAAGGACGAACAGTTGAAGTCAGATGGTAAAGGAGTACAGTTTGAGTAAAGGAGCAGTCCGTGGCCAGATCTCCAAGCCAAAGGGGGGACCACGGGACGGCATGTGATGGTTCAAGCGCTGGTGCCAGGCTTGTCAAAGTAGCCTGGGCTCGCCTTGTGGGCTCGGACAGGAGCCCAAAGGAGGCGAGGGACTGAGGGACCGAGGGACGGAGGGTTCGGAGGGTTCGGAGGGGTTCGGAGGGGTTCTGGTTAGGCGAGACGGAGTTTCCCAGATTTTCCCATGTCTCTTGGTACCAGTTTAGGGAACGAAGGTGGCTGCACCTACAAATTGGAAGGGGTCCAACAAGAACCGAAGGCATGCTTTTGGGACTTGTTTCACTTGCGAGTTCGTATGTTATAGGGTCCTTTGGTTCTCTCAAAGTGAGTCTGAGAAAGTTTCATGTGGTCCTTTCAGACTTCCCCTCCTTTTCGCAAACGTTGCTTTCCCTTCGGACACGACAACTCTGGTTACAGCGGAGGCAAATGGGAGACCATTCGATTTGACACTTGATGCTACTGGACTTCTTGAATGAATTCGAGGCAGAATGTTGGATCTCCCAGATTCTATCAATACCTGTCTACCTTCGGAGGGCTTCATCAAGCGCCACTAAGAGCCCAGCCTCGTGTTAAAGAACAACATCTTTGGTGGCCTGAAGGGAAGAGCGGCTCTTTTCGGAGATCGATGATTGGGCATACCGAAAAGGGCACCAAAAAGGGGCCTCTGGCCACAGCACACCGAAAGGGCTCGGCTTTCGTCCCGTCGCCTGTCCCCTCGACCGACCGATGCAGGTGACGAGGTGACGGAGCTTCGCCTGGCGGAGTGCGGCCGCCCGGAATCCGCGGAGGGGCTCTCTGCGGAGGGCATCTCCCGGGGGCTGGTCCGGATGCTTGGGGGGGTTTTGGGTGGGACTTCGGATGGTTCTTTTGTTCGGGGGGAGTGAGGTTACGCATGTTTTCCAAGCCGTGAGTGAGTTAGTGAGTGAGCCGTGTGCGTACTTTGGAGAAGTGTGCACCCACCGGTGCATGAGCCGTGCCACGGCGGCCAGGCTCAAGCGCCTCATAGACCGAGATGCTCAGGCCTTGCGCAGCAATCCCAAAGCTGTTCTGCAGGAGGGCCGGGTCGAGCGATGGTGGAGGGATGTGAAAGGAATCGAAGTCTGAAAGCAGGGCCCAGCTGGCACAATTGGTATTCAAAGTCATTCGAACAAGATGACCACCTTCAGATCATGCTAAGGCGGTTGGAGTCAAATTCTGAGACGTTTTGTCAGGAGCAGGTGGAGTCGAGCGAAAGTACCGTTGGCACAAGCCATGCAGCCGAACCCTCTGAGGTGAGACAAAGCAAGTTGTCAACACTTGTTTTGGGCCTATGCTCTCCTTTCCTGTCGATCAGAGAAGTAGTGATACGGGCTGGAGACTGCCCAAGATCTCTTCAACATCCCGATGGGATTTGCATACTTTCACAAAGCTTGGACGTTGTTTCAACGACATACAGTAGATTCTTTTTCGTTTGACTTTGCATGGAGTGATGTTTTTTTTTTTTTTTTAAATGGGGTGCGTTGCCCGAAGGCATGTCCCGTCTTGCAGCAAGACGCACCAGAGATCACCGGTGAGGTGAAGGTGAGAGAGGGCCTTTGTCCTGATCACTAAAAGCAAGAGGGATTCTTACTTCCGTGGTGGGCGGCACTTTGCATGTGGGGAGGAAAGACTCTTAGTTGTACAAACAGCGGCTGGCTAAGATGTTGAAGATACTCGCACCGCAATCATACGATTACCATCTCCTTTGCAGCCTTTGCATTTACAACCTTGGAATCAGGTTTTGATCGCACCCGTCCGCCTGGGAACCCCGAAGCATCCTGAAGCCGAACTCCAGGCAATCGGTGCCACATGCTTGTTGCCACACCGAAACCCCTTTCTGGGCTTCCATTCTCCTTGTTCGATGGCATTTTTCTTCTTTCGTCCATCCGCTCGATGTCGTTGATCCACACCCCGGAAAAGCGCACCCGGCCGGAAACACGGCGGAACGGACGGTTCAGAACCGGAGACGAAGACCTGGCCACACGAACCGCCAGGTCCACCGCGTTTTGGTGGCCTTTGAGCCGAAGAGCCGCCAGTCCGGTGAGATGCCCTTGAGGGCCGACGAGGAGGCGGAAAGACGTGGTGAAGATGCGGAGTCAAATGGAGTCAACTCTTAGGGCCTTAGGGCATCCTTTCTAATAGCGATGGCCTCCAACCTGGAAGCAATGGTCTCCACCCTACTATCGATGTCCTCCAACCTTTGTAACTATATTTGAACTCTTGGAGAGTTCACCTTGGGCCTAAGGACATTGTCGGGTGCCAGGAGGTGGCAGGCGGAAGGTTGACGAATGTGTTTCCCTCTCCAACCTGAGTCCTTTGGATGGGAAGCACGTGCGGCACAGCAAGCCAGCGTGGACTCGAGGAAGTCAGATTTTGTAGGTGTCCAGATTCGGTCCCCAAAGAAGTATTGTTTTCACGGCATAGATTGCTGGACTCAAAAAGAGTAGAGAAATACAGGACTCAATGAACTAACATGGGTGTCAGTGGCTATAGAGAGCACTGCGATGTTGGGGATTGGTGTGAGCATGTTTGTCAGGTCACCGTGCGCTATCCTCCAACTGAGGACTGGTCTTGGGAGTAGCACAGCTCACCATGTGCGGGTTGGGATAAGATGGGATAAGCCTGTCCGGAAGTTACTCAAATCCGTGGTGCATGACGTTGGATGTGCTGTGTTCTTCTTTGCTGTGCTGCTTGCTCACATGAAAGAAGAGACTAGAATTGGCTGAGTTGAATCATGTTGAATCCAAGCATACCGAGTCTGCAATTAGACCGAGAAGACATGTCCTGAGCGCCAGCCCAAGCTGCCAGCTAGATCACAAGTCCCTGCAAGGAGTGGATCTTTGGTTGGAAGGGCTATCCAGCTCATGACCAGGGCTGGATCCCTGCACAGAACCTTGGCATCGGCGAGCCTCACCTGTTGTGAATCGCATGGAGCAGAGTTCCAGCATGTTCCTCAACTTGTTCTGAACGGCTTTGCTTATCAGCCGCCAGTGCCAGGTGTGAGTATCGAGGAGTACAGCGACGATGAAGCCAGTGCCCCAGACTTGATGTTTCTCCAAAAGCAACCTACTCATTGGATCTGGATACACTTGCCAAACATCTGCGGTTACAGCATAACGATCGGTATGCCGCTATTCTCTCCTCTGTGAAACAAGGCAGAACCAAGCCAGGGGGACCCAGATGGTGCTTTGCCGCACATATGTGTCGACTGCAGCTTGGAAGGATGTCTTGTCCGATCTCAGAAGGAACGCCCAAGAACCTTCCCAATGCAGCCGCACAGTGCCCAGGCCCTGAACCCAAAGCCAAGGCGGGAAGTTGTTGAATGTCGACATATCATAAGAAGATCAATTCCGACGGAGTCATAGTCGGCTTTCCAGTACTTGGAGCTCTTTTGCAGAAAGAATGGTAAAACGGCGGTCGGAGTGTGAGTTCTGACATTTTTCGAGGAGGAAGTGGAGCCGTGACCTCAGGGGCTTGTTGGGGCTTGTTAGAGACTGAGCCTGATCTCGAGACGGGGCCTGCGTAGATGGTTGATGCGATGTTGATACCAGGATCATTTGTTGAGTGAAGAAGAATACGCATATTTACAGTATATAGTACATTCAATGCTGGATCAAACATTGGACATGGGGAAGTAGGACGATTTGCTGCTCACTTCTTTGAGAAATCTCTGTGTTTCAGTTACTTCTTGTCGACCTGGAGCGGCTTTTGGCCACGCTGGGCCATCGCATGCCCAGGGCTTGGCATCACCATGGACAGTGGTGGAGTCGGCAGCGACACCTCAAGGCTTGTGGGTTGGGTAGCGTTTGGAATTCATCTCAGAAAGGCTGGCCGGGCCCTTGAATTTGGGATCGACCTTTTCCCAAGACGTTCCTTTTTGTTTTGCAATCATAGTCCAACCTATCGAATCTGGTTTTCAGAACACAGGCTCTACCACTGTAAAAGTTGAAGAGAGCATGGCAGTGCGTCTGACTTTGCAGGTTGACTCATCTTCTGCGAAGAAGGACGTTGACCTTTTCTGGTCTTGCTCGTGGTTTCCGTGCGCCTCCATGTTCTGTGATCTGAATCTCCAGAAGCATTGGGGGTGATGGGTTCGGTGAACATCATGAGATACAAGTGAAAGAGGAAAGTGTCCATTTCCATGCCAAAACGGTCTTTCCGGTGGTGAATTTGATCAGGACCAATCTCATGTTTCCCATGCCTTTTTCTCTTTCAACCCGTCTCACGATCAACAAGAATTGGCCTATATATATATATATATTTCTGATTTTTGAATACCTCACCAGATCCGTTAGTCAAACCTCTCATGTCTTCCGTTTTCTTCAGGACATCGGGGACGTGCGGCGCCGTCCACAGACGGATCCCGCAGAGTGCGAGACTCAGCGAGTCGCGCCGACCCCAAAGCGTGGTCATCGAATCCCTCCCCCCAACAATGTATGCCTACTACCCGCTTTGGAGGGTTACGGCTTCGGAGGGTTGAAACTTAACACGCACTGTAAACACAGCTGCAGTTGCTTTGATTCAAGTTTCTCAACTAAGTGTTCTTGAGGTTAAGCCCAGCATGAACAGGTCCAAGACTAAACCAGGGAATACACTTGAATACACACTTGTGCCTTGTGCTTCAGGATTGGCAATATGGGATGAGACGTGTATTTATGCCTCCCTGATGGTGGTGCTGAGTTTTCAACAAAATAAGCGGGGCACTAGCAGTTTATGTCTTAAGGTTTTTCCCGGTCAATCCTATTCATCCCGGTTTTGCAGGATTTCTGTTTTCCAGAAATTGGACGATCAATTCCAACAAACAACACATCCATCTATTTGGAGACCACTTGGGACCACTCTAGTCCTTCTTTTGATTGGCGATTCGAAGGCTTCAGCAGTCTCGCTTGGCCTCCAGTGCCCTGGCGGCGGCCACCGCCAAGTCTCAGCAGGCGTTGGTCTTTGTCGGGCGCCGCGTAGGTCTGGAGTTTTGAAGGGACCAAGGTTTTGGGACATTTCTGGGTGAGCTGTGAACCCAGTCTGTTGCTTTGAAGCAGTGACCGAGCCACGCTACGCTTGATGGCGATGAAGTTTCCCGAAATCCAGAGAGACAAACCCTAAGAAATCTTTGGGTTCTAGGAGCCATCTCCAAGACTTCAATCTAGAGCTACGTCGAAGTGCGACCAAGAGTGGAAGGAGCTTGCCTCTCTTCTGATTCGAAGTATATTTGATGGAATGACCTGAAGGAACCTGACAGAAACAGTTTAAACATGGGTAAACACATGGCCTCAATAGTTCTTGGTTTAACTTGGAAGTATGTCAAACTCGAATTACCTGAAAAAATCCCAGGCAGCGAAGGGCCGTGGGAAAGGCGGGCGTGGCACGCTCGAGAGGCCGGGGAAAACCTTGCGACATGGAGCAGATTTGCCCCATCTTATTGGACATGCCGTTTTATTGGAATGTCAAGTGAGTCCAACTTGCCAGCTTTGCATGGAAGGGCATCTCGCCATCTCCCAAATATTTTTGAAAGAGTCATAAAAGTCATAAGTTTGGTATTTGCATGCATTTGCACTTGGACACACATCGCGGAGCACAATGATTCCATCTTTTAAATCAGTCTCAGCACGGATTCACAGCTTGAGCACCCGCTCTCTCTCTCTCTCTCTTCAAACCCTCAGGCGGGACCGGACTGCTCTCTCGCAGGAACCTTAAGATTGAGCCTCGTAGTACCCTCCACAGGTTGTTCAGCTTTCAAGAAGATGATCTATGCGAAATGGACACTTAAGGTTTACGACTTTTTCAAGGTCCCCATCCAGCTTGCTGAGGATCCAGCTTGATCGCCTGTCGAAGCCTCTGGTCGTGGAACAGGCGCCTTTTAAGATAAGGGACTCTCTTTTTTCTGAAGGTGATGACAAATGTGATTGAGGTGAACTTTTCAGCCACATAATGCACGTGGTTGTGCATTGGGACTTCATGCGCAACGGATAAACACGTGCTGGTGCGTCCGCTCGTCAACCAGACTTGGCAAGAGCACCTTAGGCTTTGAGCGAGCTGTCATTTAGGAGCCTAAAGTATGAGTTGTCGTGGGATCACTTGCAGGCAAAGTCGCCGGGGGTGTCCTAGTGGGGAGTTTCATAAGCTTTTTTGGTTCACGCTTCAAGTGAGCTCAGACGGTCCTTTCCTTTCGTTTCAACCCAGCTCACTTTGAAGATGGTTTCCGCACGACTCCTTCATGCAACTTGTCTTGAGGAAAGTGTCTGTCCTGCCAGGCGAAGAAGAACTGAGTACAGCCAGTGTGCCTTCAGGCTTGAACCCAGGTCATTGAAAAAGGACGTGCCATTTCTTTGCCTTCTTGAGATATAGCCAAGATGTATCTTCGACGCGGCTTTTAGGTTTTGGGGTCGCAGGCGATCAATGCCTTTCTGCTCTCTTCAGTGCTCAGATCAGTGGTGAAAGCCATTGAAGTCTGGCTTTGGCAAGACAGCCTGGCACCATAATCAACCATTTTTACATATTTTTATGATCAGGCCAGTTGAAGGAGTTTGATTCTAGCCAATCTGGGAAGCCTGTTGTCAATTCAATACACGTCTAGCCTAGTTCTGCAGAAACTTCGGCCTTTGGCAATGACAAGAGGACCATTGGAGTACAACAAACCAAGCAAAATCACAGCTACGGGCGCTTCTGTGGCTGGTCATGTGGACATGGGTGCTGCCAATGCTGGTACTGCTGGTTAGAAGCCAGGACGACTTCAGAGAGCGGCTTGGCTGAGGGGGAAAAGAAGAAGATGGGCCTAGACAGGATTGAAGACACGGGTGTTTATCAAGAGCCTCTTTGAGCAGAGCCTTAAGCCTGTCCGCCAGAGACTTGAGAATTCCTGTTTCTTTTGTTTGAAGTGTTTCTTCTGAGTCTGCCTTGCCAAGGCATAGTGCGATCCATGTGCCCGTTCGCGAACTGAAAGGCACATCATGGTGGACTACGAGCTAGGATTGACAGAATTGGGGCAACAGTTGTTTGTATAGAACATATACCAAAGAGTTGTCGAACATGATCACGCCGTTGAGGGTCGAGGATCGTTTTTGGTCGCGATTGGTATTTCCCCTTTGGTGCATCTTTCAGAAGCCGCAGAGGCTGCTGCCCAGACTTGGAGGGCACGTGGCATCCGTGCTGCAGCGGCTCGCAAGCAAGGTTGAAATTGTTTGGGAAAACCCTAGTAGCGTTCTTGCTCCTAGTAGCGATTCCAGGAGCCCCTAGTAGCGTTCTTGCTCCTAGTAGTAAGGCCAGGAGCCCCCAGTAGCGTCCTTGCTCCTAGTAGTCAGAATTCAGGTATGATTCACTTGTGACTTAACACAGCCTTTCCAACCGCCCTAGAGTCGCCTGAGTCAAGCTTTTTCCTCCGACTGCTTTGGTGTGGAAAATGCCGTCTCAACCGGTGAGACACGGGTTGGTTTTGAGGTCTCGCAGGCTCTTGCTGCCCTGGTTCCGATGGGGAGCTGGCAAAGTGCTGTCCTGGCTATGTCAAGGAGCCTCTCTTCGAACCGTGCATTGGTGACTAGGCGAAAGATCGATACAAGGAATCCAAGGTACATGGTTTTTGGATGATCTGTGGGACTGTGAAGATCCGAGTTCCCACAAAATTCATTGTTTTTCGGGTAGGACACCATGTGTGGGAAAACTGCTCCAGAAAAGACTTTGTGAATACTTATATACTTGCTACTTGTGCTTACTAGCATTGTTGGACAATTCATTTGACAAAAGCTGACATTCAAGATGAAAACAACAAACTACACTCTTTGATCCGGAGACTGAGGAAGCGAGGGTAGAAGCCCTTGTCCAAGCGGAAGCACCTGCTGCCACGGAACCTGCTGCGTGGGAAAGGCGGTCTGCTGTGGAAAGGCCTGCTGTGCCCAGGACTGATCGATTCTTTTCCAGCGGAAGTCCAAAAAGCAAAAGGAAAGAAGAAACGGAGCAGACCTCAAAAGCAGAACAAGCACCTCTTGTCCAGCGTCCAGTTCTCTTCTCCGCTCTTGATTCATATCCGCGAACGGTGTGTCTGCTTTTTGCGTCAAGGACTGGAGCTGCTGCAAGGATGCCCTGGGGGACGACGTGTGCGGCCCGGCGGACTGCGGAGCACCAGGGCTTTCGAAACAGGAGAGCGGGGGAGGACGGCAGGCTAGCACCTGTTGAGTGTGGATTTTGGGGGCTGAAACTGAGTGTCTCACCGACTTGGGACTGTTCATTGAAACACAAGTGCTTGAACCGATTGATTCAAGCATCTTAAAAACTGACGCCAGGAGGATATCCTGCTGGACAACATTGTGTGAGATACCTTAAGCTAAAAGCTTCAGATGAAGGTTGTTCGTAGCCTGGAGAAGAAGGTGACAGGCGCAAAGAAAAGTTGCATTGGAAGCGAGGCGATGGATTTGTCGGTGCGTGTCATCATTTGAGAATGAAAGTCGACGGGATAGGATAAGGCAACAAGAAGGATTCTTATTGTAGAGGCAAAGTCCAGCCAAGCAACACGGAACATTAGACAAGGCTTTTCCCCTTTGGCACTAGATGACGTTCATTTTTTGAGGGGGAAGCAACGGGGTGCCCGCAAGAAAGGTGACCCCTTGCCAAAAGCCCTTTCGGGTTGCATCATTGCATCGCTGGAACTACAAACTGTTTGGGCTCAAAGGCATCCCGCGATTTGCAACGGCGCCAGAAGCGACCAACTCCTGCAGAAGCTTCCCTTGCGCAGAGTTGCCCTACAAATTCTTTTTCTGCCAGAGCTTGTGAGTGTTGTGAATCGTGTGACTTGTTTGAGACCCCCAGTCAATGGATGTTCATCTGAAATTCATGACACATCACCAGGGTCCTTAGGTCCTTTGGGAATGCCAGGTCATGGTGAAGGGAAAGTTCTCGATCGACCCTTCCTTGGAGGTTCGTTCGTCCGAAGGATGCGCAAGCGCGCACAGCGAGCGACGCCAGTCTTGGAGATGTGAAACATGAATGCTGTGAGGCCAAGATGCACCAGTACCAGATCGTGGGGCGAGCAGCACCCACCAACAAGAACCCGACTCCTAAGATCTACCGAATGAGGCAAAGCGTTGTCGTGATTCCCCGGGTGTACTTCTTTGTGGTGTTTTTTTGCAATTGTCTATTTTTTCTCCGGAGAGACAAAGAGAGAGGTGACTTTTCGTGTTTCCGACCAGGATCTTTGCGCGCAACGTGGTCCTCGCCAAGTCCCGCTTTTGGTACTTCATGAAGAGGCTCAACAAGGTGGGGCGATCGTCCCAGCAGAAGGATGTCTTGTAGGACCGGTGACACTCGTTGGATGACCGGTAGGCCAAGAAGAGCGGTGGCGAGTTGCTTTCCGTGAACGAGCTCCATGACACTAGCCCCACCAAGGTCTGGGTGACGGGGGAAATTGCGGTGGGAGAATGTGGGCAGCTCATAAGGCGTGGCCGTTTTGGCCTGGAGATTTGACTGACCAAAGGCAGGCACCAACCTTTGGCATTTGGACAATCAGGTGACAACCCTGGCTGGACCAGACCATCCAAGATGGAGGCTTTTGCTTTTCGACACATGGCAGGTGAAGAACTACGGCATTTGGCTGCGCTATGACAGCCGCACCAACACTCACAACATGTACAAGGCAGGCTCATTTTGCACGCTTTGATGTGTCGCTCAGCAAACCAACCTTTTCATATTGGCTAGGAGTACCGCAACGTGAACATCAACGGTGCTGTTGGGCAGCTGTGCGCCTGCTGAATCCTCTCTTGGGCCACATGTCAACGGGTGTTTGATGTTTTCAGTGCGTTGGCCATTGGACACCCACCAACGCCTCAAGTTTGAACATTGTTTTATGGAAGAGAAAGGCGTTTCTTGGCAATGATCGTCCAGGTACCAGGAGATGGCCGGCCGCCACCGCGCTGATCCCGGCTCCATTCAGATCATCCACGTGCGAAAGCTCAGCACAGATCAACACGGCGACAAGTCGATCGAAATGCATCTACTTACTCCACTTCGACTTAACATCAAAGCCTGTTTTGGATTGTTTTGGTTGTTTCTCTTCGAAAGGTGCTTCACTGCTTGACCTTCTTTTGACCTTTAACGAACCGTAAGGCCACCACTGTGCCGGATGACAAGTGCCGCCGCGATCACGTCTTGGACGGGAGAGTTGCCAGTGTCTATCGGAGTGATGCTCACTTGGCGAGACCACTTGGTCAAAGAAGTCTGCTCACTTTTGTATCCACAAGTTGGGAGGAGATGCATGGCGACAGGCTCAAGTTCCCCGTCGTCAGGACAGGTCCTGCGCACCCACGAGAAAGTCCTCACTTGTGGCCGATTTCATTGGGCCATCTAAACGAGTTTAGGTGGCCTATTTCTACGGCAAGACATACTTTATATAAGACATACTTTATAGATATATAGAAGCTGAGCCCCCGGCACTGTGGAGTCTTTGTGTCGCAGGAAGATTCCTCATGCTGTCAAGAAGCTGCGCACCACCTTCAAGGAGGGGGCCCTGGCTGCGAAAACACCAACTGCGAAAGCTTCCGAAGCTCTGTCGTTTTTCATGTGCTAGATGGAAGAAGTATGAAGAAGTCTTTCACTCTCTCTCACTCTCACACTCTCATTCTTGCTTAATATCGAAGCGCAGCCGCTTGACACGGCCTGATCCGCCGACGTGGATCCCCGGCCCAGGCCAAGCGCGCCAGCACCTTCGTGCGATGAGCGAGTCCGGAGAGGAGAGTTGGTTTCAGCGAGCGGGAAAAAGCGATGAGCTGGAGGGGGATTCAGTGGGATGTGTGGGGACGTTTTTGTGTGTGTGTGTGATGGAACGGGAAGGAACCCCTTTTCAGCTCCCTTTTCTGTTCTTTTGTTTGGAGGTACAGTTGGAACTTGGGAAGGATAAGCTGCGTTCCTGTCCCGGAAGAATCATTGTCGCCCTGTGGATCTTCACTCAGCCAGGAGTTGCACGCTCGACTTGACAAGGCTTAAGCTTTCACACGAGAGCCTTAGCAGGCCTTAGCATGGTCTTCAGATCACCAGCAAGCTGGACAAGGTTCCTTCCAAGTTAAAGGTTTTCACGCTTTCCAACTGTTCACGAAAGGTAGCCCTTTAGGGGATACCTTGAGTTTGTCTTGCGAAGCAAGTGTTGGGACGTCCGGGTCTAATAATTGATCGCTCAATTCAGACCCCCCCCCC